ATCTTCTTTTTCCAAGATATTCTGAGAATCTTTCTATAGCATTTCAGATCAAAAGCGCCTATTCTCTTTCTTAAGGACTGAGAGATAGTCCACGACTCACATCCGTGTGTAGCCACAGGGAAGATGCATGCTCTCAAAATTCTAATTTTTATCTCCTTGCTGGTGCTTAACCATAGACTTTTAAGGCTGTTTAATCTTTGCATTGCTATGGCCATCCTCCTTTTAAATTCTGTCGAACAGTCTCCATTGTTGTTTATTATAGAGCCTAGATATTCAAAGTTTGTGACATTTTCAATTTCTTCATCATTTATTGTTATTTTTGGGTGACAGCCAGTTTTATCCGTGGACATTATTTTCGTTTTCTTTAAATTTAAGAACAGATTTTTATCTTCACTGTGCTTTTGGACAGACAATAATAATAACTGGTCTATCAAAGTGTCTGTCCGTCCGTACTTACATTCACCTGTCTGTCTGTCCGGCAATGTGTCCCTCTATCTACCCGTGTTCATCTAAATGTCTATCTACCCGTGTGTCCATTTAAATATCTACCTACCCGTGGTTATATTTAAATATCTATCTACCCATGTTTCCATCTAATTATCTACCCATCTGACTAGTGAGTGTGTGTGTGTCTATCGATCTAGTGGTAAGTATCCCCGCCTGTCATGTGGGAGATCAGGGTTCGATTCTGCGCTGGGCATATTTGTGTATATATATGTATATATTAGAGTGTATGTACCGGTATACACGAGTGTTTCTGTAAATATGCATGTCGGTGTGTATGTATATTTGAATGCATGTTATTAGAATTCACGGAGGGAGAGAGAGAGAGAGAGAGAGAGAGAGAGAGAGAGAGAGAGAGAGAGAGAGAGAGAGAGAGAGAGAGAGAGAGCACAAAGACCCACCACCCGGTGTTTCAGCAGATTCCCTACATATGTTAACCGCAGCAGGATTACTAAACCCGCCAGCCAGCACACAAGTCTACCTTCACTTCAAGATCCCAGTGCCAGCCAGCAGCAGCTCACATGACAGACAGACAATACCACCCCGCTAACCCGACACAGGGAATCCTGTGCAGGCAACAATTAACACCCAACTTTGCAGTGACTCACCAGCGGCCGTGATAAATGTCAGCATCAAATTTAGCCTCCCGCCGGCTTTTTGTTTCTTTCTTGTGGAGCCGCCGCCGTGTAGCGGATATGTCACTACGCCCCTAGACCCTGCACAAACTCCACAGCTCCAGTGATAAACAATTAAACTTACAAACTTCGGAGCAAGAAACATACAGCTTAACCACGTGGGCATACAGACCCCTGGTGCATTTACCATAAAGCTAATCATAATTGGTGCATTACTCAGTAACTCAAAAGGTAAGTTTCTCCCAAAAATAGGATCAGTCCTATATTAATCTTTGCTTCAAATGAAGCTTTCACAGCATACTTTTAGAGGATTCTGCATTTACTCAAGCACAAAAATCTGCATTAAAATATTTCTTTTCAGGGAATGCCATGTACCCCCCCCCCAAACATACAGGTTAGTTAGTTGCCTATCCTTTACATGACGTTGCAGAACCAACCCCATCAGCCCCTGGCTGTTGTGTGGTTTCACTAGGCAAATTTACATCCAGTAGTTTGCCATTGCATTCTGGATGGTCGGCTTCCTGATACCACTGTTGAAACTAACCCAAGGCGTATGGCCCGCAGCTGGGATCGAACCCGGCATCCCAGCATTACGAAGCGTTCGCATCGACTTAGCCACAGAGCCGACCCAACATACAAACCTTCCCCAAAACTATAAACATTTTACTGCCCAAATGTTCTTGCACTTTTTCCCAAACAAGTTTATCTTTGGTCTAAATGCACCCACTCAGGTGTTTACAAGTAATTATAAGTTATATTATCATTAAACTACATTACTGATGTCAATATAATATATATTTATACGATCATTCTATTCAAATTCAAAGAATCTGTATTTCAAACGAGGAACGAAATCTATCCATCTGGGGAACTTAGCCAGAACATATTTGGAGTAGGCCTTACACTACAAGCATTCTGAAAGAGCTAGGGTTTATTTTTTTTTTGGTTAGGTCCTTTTTCCCGGGGAAACAAGGCAGTACTCATGCAGTGTGAATAATAACAATTATTTTTTAAAAAGCAACAATCCATGGAAATTTAATCTTGGTTTACACACTATGAAGCCCTCTTGATGGTAAACTAATAAATGCATTAACAAAAGAATGTCCCACCGTCACAAAGGCACTATAATGAAAATGTTGTATTGCATGCACAGTTAAGCATGTGCCTTACATCTCATTTCCAAAAGTACTACTTTTACGGTTCCCTCTCTGACTAGTCCCAATCTTTCAACTTGTCCTTCTTCTTAGCGTCCACTGGCTGTAAACTGTGACTGAAAGTTCTGGCTGTTCCTCCACTTCTGGACTTTGGTCACATTCCAGAAAGAACTTGAATTTTGCGTCTCTTTTTCAGATTGAGCTAATCTGTATGCAAGACTGCTGGTTCCTTGCCTCTCAAGCGGCTGCACTCTGACTACAAAGGAAACACCCCTAATTAATCTCCTTCTATGCCCCGCTTGTTGGGTAAACATGCACATTCACACAAACACTTGTAGACATGCTATTATTTATGTCCTCCAAGAAATGGGAGGGGTGGAAGACTTTGGAGGCAGTGAATCCTCATCACTCGTCAGAATGATAGACTCTGGAGTTAAGATCGGCAAAGCAAAAAGCGAGATGCACATCAGACACACCAGAAGACTTGTTAATCAACACAGAACTGGTACTATTAGCCACCGGACGCTGGGGTTCATACTGAGGGGAGAATCTGAGCACCTTTGGATATGTCCGGAGTACAATGATGATAATCCAAATAACTAACTTGTCGACATACCAACCACAGAAAGTTTGCTTCTTCTACTTCTGCATTTGTCCTTAAAAGGGCGGTTGGCACACTGTGTTGTGGTTTACAGCCAGGCAGTGATACCTGCACCTTTTGACTAAACAAATCTGATTTCAGCAAACCCTTAATGGCTTTTTTAAAAAAAAGGGGTTGGGGGGGGGGGGGGGGGGGGGGTGGGGGAAGGGGGGGTGTATGAGGTATTGGGACAGGGGGGTTTATCCCCCTCCCGCAAATATCCGTCACACCTATTCACTAGGCGTGCAGCTATGTTAAACCCACGTACCCATGTCAAATTCACTCACTGGCCACGTTTCCATGTCAAACCCCCTAACCCTCCATGCACCTAAGTCAAACCCATTTACCGGCCATGCACCTAAGTCAAACCCACTCATCGGCCATGCACTCATGTCAAACCCACTCTCTAGGATTGCACCCACCCATGTCAAACAGACTCAATGGCCATGTACCCATTTAAACCTATTTAAAAGACATGCACCAATACCAAACCTATTCACCCATGCAGAATGAAAACAGACTTACAAAACGGTGGTTGATTGTAAATAACAGCTTCTGGTTTCTCCTCAACTTCTGTTCATACACACATAACATAAACACAGTTCATTAAAAAAAGCAGCAAAAGAGTCACTAAATTCACACATATTTAAAGAAAGGAAACAGTTTACGAAACAATGAAAAATATGTAGACAAAAGGGTCACACGGTTAATTGAACACTTCCATGGTGAGCTGTACAGTGTTGACTGTGTACTGCGTATTTCCGTTGGAAGGATTCATTTTTGTCCACTTCATTTTAATTTGATGTAAAGTCTGTACAAAAATACCTGACAAGACAGAGAGAAATGTGCTGGACAAGAAACTACATTTACCACGTGTCCTCATTACTAACTCAAAACATACATAAGAGAGAATAAAAGACATTGAAACACATCGCCCCAAAACAACCTAAGATGACAGTAATCAACCAGAAGTGAAACTATCATAGCTTTCCTAAAACAGATCAGTAGTTAAACTCCCATAGTCCGAGACAGGGCTGAATTCAACAGTGTCTATGCTTCAGTTGTTGATTCATAGAGCTACAGTTCTATTACACTCACAGATCAGAAAAAATCCAGCTCTGGGGGAGAAGGTGTTACAGTCACACCTGGGAAATAAGGGACTAACATAACAGAAGAATGGGGCAGAGAAAGTAAAGCAATGTGTACCATATAAAGTGTAACCAATATGGTGAGTTCCTTGGTACTAAAAGAATTAATAAATATCAACACAGTAAAGATAAAATGTGTGCAGAAATGGGAAAGTGTATAAAATCTCCTGCAGACTTTAACAGTTTATCATACAATTATAGGCATGTCATAGCTTGTCAGACTAGCCAGTCTAAAAATTATTCACAAATAACGATCACCACGCTCAGAAGGGCAGCAAATAAGCAATAGTAGAATATCAGAAAACAATAAACAAAATTCAAACGCTTTCTTCTGTTTACTTTCAAACAGAAGAAAGAAGACACAGAGAGGAAAAACATTTTATCTGAAAAAATAAAAATATTGTCCACAGCTAGATTTAGGTTTAGAATAAAAAATTGAGGAATTTTTAGTGAAGAATAATTCTTTTTTTTTTTAACCCAAAGGCTACACATCTAGAGCAGTGGCCACAAACTGCAGATTATAGTTTGTATTTTCCTCCTACAGAAACCAATCTCCATCCCTTTTGAAGATAAAGCTTGGGTCTTGGCATGAGTCGAGTTGACTCAAGAACCGACATCACATCACAGCACTTGGGGCATTCCCATAAGCGCTCCGTCCCCATCTTCAGCAACCAGCACAGAGTTCCAATATCAAATGTGCCAGTAGCAGTCGAGTATATGTCCATTTCATGTATCCTCTAAAAGTCAAGTAAAGGCCAGATCCCCTCGTCACTCACCGCTGCATCACTCTCACCAGACTGAAGAGAAGTCTGCTTTTCCAAACTGTACACAGATAGAAAACAAAGTTAAACACACAGATCACAAAGTTAAACATATTACAAAAGTCAGTCAAAAACACACTACACAAAAAGGTACATACCTCTCGGGTCTAGACCTCTTAGAAAACAGGCAGCTTTAAATAGAAAAGAACAATAAATCATTATATCTACAGCCCTTGCTAATAAAACAGTAACAGAAAAGTATAACACATTTATGCTCATAAACATTGACATGCTTTGGATCCTATCTTTGAGGCAAGCAGGTGTGCTGGGAAATGAATATGCTGACAGATTGAATGATACTGCAGCACAAGATGGTTAGCTGATGTATGACAAGCTAGACATGGCCAAGGCCCTTTGGGAGAAGGCTACACATGCAAAAACATGAATAGACCATTGTGGTTGGTGAAGAATGGTGAAGCTGGGAGTGACCAAGGGTTCTGGCCGACAATACTCAGAGGAAGGCAAAATGGATATATAATCAAACTGCTTGTGGTACCATCGGAACTGGAACTCTATGATAGCTGCTGAATATGGGGATGGATTACTAATGGTGATGTCCTGAAAACTGTAATTATCAATTCTCAACTTAAAATTTATGAGACAGATTCACAGATAAACATGTCATAACTGCCAACATGCCACTTTTGCGGATTAGGCTGGGGAGACTGAGCCTAAGGATTTAGGACCATATGGCTAGTGCTGTCAACATGGACTGTGCAGGTAAGGATTTTATTTGTGTCCTGACAGAAAAAACCCTAACACTGACAATCTTAATATGTATCTCCTGCATAAGAGCCTTGTGTTAACTATGTGATTAGCCGTTTCTCATTCAATACATAACTTGAAGCTTATTCTGTATACATCTTCAAAGCTTGTTTAACTGGAATAACATTAGAATGTAGGCCAGAGCTATCAGCTATTTATTCTACTGGCGGCCTAGCAAGTGGCCTGAGGATCATCTCCAGCTGTCTTTTATTAGTGTTATGTTATCATAATCGAGGTCAAGCACATTGGGCATTCCCTCCGATGCAGCAGCCACTCCAAAGTACTTCTCCTAACTGTTCCCATGAGAAGCTGGTTATATTGTCTCCTATCTCAGCCTCGAAGATGGCACAGACGTGCTTCACCATGCTTTACTCGGATGTCACATAATCGTGTTAATGTCAGGGATTCCTCATTATCCACTAGTCCAGTCCGTACAACGTTGATGATGTCTGCTCTGACCATGCTTCTTCCCACATGCTTTAGTGCAATGACTGCCAGTTGGTCCGCTCGCTTTTGACCAGGTGTGCAGATCCAGGTGAGTAAGGTTAAGTGCGACTTTTGAATGCTTTCTACCCATTCAGAGCACATACCGCCTGCTGCTATTTTCTGAAGCATGTTCATGGAGTCTGATACAACTACTGCCGGTGTGGCGGTTTGCTCGGATACCATAATAATGCTCTAGAAGTAGCAGCTATTTCCATGGCCATGCCTGACGTCCTCCTGTATTGTTTTATATTTTATTAATGATCTTTTCATGCACGGGGCTTGAGGTCCCCTTTTTCAAAATGTTGGCCCCTGGGTTAGGCGTAGTAAAATAGCCCTAATGTATGTCAAGACAACATACTACCACATAACTTCAGGAAGAAGAAGAAAACACAACTTGTAAGTATTTACCTTTGGGAGCATCATCAACTTTCTTTTTCTCTGGTGGGCTGCTTACTTCTCTTTGAACATCACCAACACTACTGGTTGAAACTGGCTCTACACTAGCAACAGGTGAAGAAGCTGGTTGTTCGTATGGTGCAGCTGTTAAGATACAAAACAAATTTTGAAAGTACAGTGATTATTTAGCTTTATCATCACAGCACTTGCGACAAATCCAAAGGTGCTCTGATCTCTTCCTCAAAAGCTCTACAAGCGTATAATGACTGATGATGATTGTTCTGTGTTGATTAATCAAATGTCTTAGCCCCTTAGTGAAATGTTTATTTCTGGCAGCTTCAGGTTGCAAACCCATGTCCGTCAGCCTAGTCAGTGACATGAAGTCATACTTTTTGTCATATTCATCTCTCTAGTAAGTGCTGTGCATGGCATTGTTCCTGTCCAGTGCCAGACGAGCCATAGCAACAAGCCACAGAAAAAAACAGCTAAAACAGTAGATCAAAAATGACGCAAGCGACCAAACAATAGTGCATCACAGACAGCCCTGTAACTAACTAAAGCAAAGCAAGAGAGCTAAAGATCACAATTCATCTAATGCAGAGGCAGAATATTCGAGGCTGTGAGTACCAGCATCTACAAAGCACACACCAAGGCTAGTAACAGGTACCTTTTTCAAAATAAAATGTAGAATAGGACTAGAGAAAAAATGGAGAAGCAAATGAATATAAAATGCAGTTTCACTCTGTGTACAAAAATACACAATATGTTGTTTCCCCATCACTAGTTTGATAATCAGAAAGAAAGAAAGAAATAGGTGCTTTTGAGCTGAAATGTTATAGATTCTCAAAATACCATGGACAAAGAGAAGAAATACTGACATTTTAAAAATATCTGAATATCAATTAAGACTAGCTAATAAACAGCATCTTGCTCAGAAGCTGAAATATTTTGGTCATATCAAGCGCCACGGAGGACATGAAAAAACAATAGCAGAAGGCATAGTACCAGGAAGGAGGGGCAGGGGCCGACCAACAGGAAGATGGGTTCAGGATTTAAGTTACTCCTTGAATATGAAAATGAATGTACATGAGGCAGGCGAGCTGGTGAGAGATTGATTTTCTTGCAGGCAGACCGCAATGACAGTGACGTTCTGCAAAGGACCTGCTACATGATGATGATGAGTTTGATAATCATTGTCATAAACTTACATTCAAAACTTGTTTTAACACTATTTTAATACTAATCTGTTGTGATTTCAGTGCATGGGTAAATCACTACACAAGTCCCCAGTCCCTTCAGTGAATACAAAAGGAACATCTGAGCACATCTGTGTGTTACTAGAATCATTATGCCATTAATATTCTTGATCTAGTTATCTACTTCTTCTTCTCCAGCATTCCGAGCCCTTGAGGTTCATTGCTGCAGATACCACCCGTCTCCACTCATCTCTCTAGTCGGCCTTCTCTTTCCAGTTAATAACACCAAGTGTTTGCAGGTATATGGCGACATTATCTCTCCATTGTCTTCTTGGTCTGCCTCGTGGTCTAAGGCCATTAATCTTTCTTGTGTATACAGTTTTCACTTCTATGTCATCTGACATTCTCTCAATATGCCCCAACCATTTCAGTCCATTAGCTCTAATAATGCCAGTTATCAGTGGTGATTTAAACAGATGAATTTCATTGTTGCTTCTCACTCTCCATTTCCCGCTGTTTTCATCTTTGATGGGTCCAAGTATTCGTCTAAGACTGTTTTCGAAAACCTGAAATAAGTTATCCTATATAATATTTAATTGAGCTACCAGAGCAACCTATTCTGCCTACTCATCAGAATTTTTAACCAGCGATTGACTTTTTTGTTTAAACTCGAATAATATGCATGTGAGAGCTCTGAGTGTTTCACCCTTGTTTGAGAAGGTTAAATGGTTGACTTACTACATCATGAGGGGCAAATGGAAGAAATACATTATGTTCTTGTACAAATCCAGATATTTTAATCTAAGTGGATGTTGCAACCTCTTAGCTACTCAAGCCTTAATATCCTGTATATTATTTATTCAAAATTCCTCTTCTTCTTCAGCATCAACCCTTCTTAAGTAAATTGGTGTTAACCAGGTTTTAATGTAATAATAATTGTTTAAGCAGACTCATATATGACACAATCTCATATAACAGCCAATATAAATTTTCTAGGAAACAGCAAGTAAAATCAGTCACAATGACGGATATCATGCGGCAGTTGGTCATACAAAATATTAAAGTTATTCACCAATGTTTTACTGGTAGGCAGGATGATTTTTCTTTCTGGCCTCACTATCCCTCCTCGACCTCACTTTTATTTTGTGATCTCATCTTGAGGTTGTGACCTCACTTTCATTCTGTGACCTCACTTTTATTCTATGAGCCCACTTGTATTATGTGACCTCATTTCTGTTGTGGCTTTCCCTATTCCTAAACTCTTACAGTCCCATATGTGATCAGTGACTATCCATGAGTGTTAAACCACAATTGATTCTATGTAGTGTTTCGCCTAGTATTACTAAAAACATACAGCTAGTTACTCTAATAACCTTCACTATTTGTGAGGATTCATATGTAAAGTTCTGCCTTTGTGCCAGTCCTATGGGTGTGAGTCATTGGCAATGACAGCTCACAGAAGCCAGCTTCAGGCCTCAGAAATGATATATCTGAGAAAGATGGTAAAAGTGACAAGGGACAAAGTCTGCAATCAGACACTACATCAAGATCTTGAAACCCAGGCCTTACAAACCTGAGTGGATCAGTCTGTTACAATGGTTTGGACATATATGCAGAATGGGAGAAAAATCGGCCACCATGGCATGTATGGGAGGCTAAGAACCAGGGAACCATACCTCAGGGTCCGCTGGAATGACAACTTTCAACTGTCCCTGACTGACAGAGAACTGGAACAAAGCCAGAAAGAAAACTGCTAATAGAGACACCTGACGAACTCTGTAGTAAAGCTCTACACCCAAAGGTAGAAAAGCAGTGACTAAGTAAGTCAGTCATATATAACACTAATGCTCTCACACATTGATAATGTCCACTGAGACCACTGTTATCCTGGCTAAATGTTCTGGCACTTAAAGAGTTAATGAGGCTTATGCCTGTCATTGTACCTACACTTTTCTGCTGTCTACTTACTACTGAATAAAGTAGATAATGATTGTCTGCTAGCAGTTGAGAATTATCAGTGTTACAAAATAATAAACCAGGAAATGCTGTGACAATCTCTCCATGCCAGGAGTGTGGTTCCCTGCCCAAACAAAATAATAAACAGAAATGTCCAAGATAGAATTAAACAACAATGAAATATAACCAAACAGAGTAAAAGATGTTAGATAACAGATCCTGAAATAACTGAAATATGATCTGGCTTTTGCACAATGCGAAATCTGATCTGGGAAAAAAAAAATTTTTGAAACAGATAAACAAATACAAATGAAAAAAAAAAAGACATAATACTGATAATATACTCATAAAATGGAAGAAATGACATGTAATATTGACATGCAAGAGTAGACTTTCTGTGGGCTAGACATATTTGCTAAAAACAGAAGATATACTGATATAAACATCACAGACTGACAGGCAAAGATAGGCATTTACATCTGATTACATCACCAGCAACCAGTGGTTGGACCTTGGACTTGTCTGTACTGACTCATCTGAACTTTATGTCTAAAATAACTTGAAATTCCAATAATTTCACAGTAATTTTAATAGTTAACTTTTACGTTTAAATATAACATAAATCTAACACAAACTAATCAGTACAAATAATTTGTTATTAATCACCTCTTGCGGTTTCCTCAATGGCATCCTCCAGTACGTTCTTCACCAGAGTTGTTGGTACTTTCTCAATCTCAGGTTCATCATTAAACTCATAGTCATCGTAACTTGTGCTGGATATTGGCTCTCTATAATGACCAGCAGGAGGATACGCTGACGGTGTAATAGTCGACAGAATATCTGCAGCCGTGGAGCTAGCAAAATCGTTGGCGGACTCCAGATCTGGGACCGGGGCTGAAGGTTGGATAGGATCATCCTCCTGTGGTTCATAAGCGTAGTTGTTATACTCGTCCCCGTCGAAGGAAATCAACGGTTCTGCAGTACGCGTGTATGCATCGGCTTCAGAAGCTCCTGAAGCGTAACGATCTTCTTCGGCTTCATCTTCCAGTAAGTTGGCTGTGGTCGTGGAGACCTGGGTGTCTTGCTCGAGGTCGTAGTCAAAAGCGCCTGAGGAGCCGACCTCCTCCGGACCATCGGCATCGCCACTGTCATGATACTGATTGTAGAACACGCTGCCGGGTGCGTCTAACTGTTCAAAATCATCGTTGGAACATCCTGAACTCTCAGCATGGCTGTCGAAAGGGTCCGATGGATTCTGGTCTGACATGGCGGTGAAAGTGTGAATATCCTCCCGGTTGCGATATGCTTACAAATGACGGCTGTTTGAGGTTGTTTATCCTGTCTGCGCAAAAATGAACATCAAAATATCATGGCCGACCGTCTTGTTGATGCACTTGTGGGCATGCGCACTGGTTCCAAGCAGGGCTGCCGAAATTTGTTTTGGATTAGTACCTATATTTTCCAGAGCAAGAATTAGATCCACACAATAAATGAGCTGCTATTTGCAGACGATCAGTGCCTGTTCTACATTAAATTTAATTATCTAGGAAGTATATTATCGGCGGTCGGGAGAAAGGATTGGTAAAATTAAACGTGATGCCAACTAGCCAGTGTTGGAGTCAAAAATCTACCTTATGTATGTCAGGATCCTCGCCGGTGCTAGGGAGTTGGTGCACTGCGTTGAGATTATTTGGACTCAGGTTTGAGTTAGAAGTAGAACAGAGCACTTATGGGTTCCTACCCTTGTGCCATGATGTTGATTCGTTCATCATCATCATCATGTGCCTTGCCGACTGGCGTGGGCGATCATGCCTCTCCATAATCTGCGATCTCCTGCAGCATGTATCAGTTTGTGTGCCGATACACCTCCATGCCATGCAACAAGACTGTCAAGCATCTTCTCTCGTTGTCTTCCTTTATCTCTCCTTCCACATATCTTTCCAGTGGTCACAACATGGACATTATCAAAAGCTAACCTGAGTAAAATTAACACCAGCACTCAGGGCATTCACAGTCAACAACTTAATTGAATTATTTAATTAAAACACATTTTAAAATATGCTTTTTGTCCCATTGATAACCTGGATGGGTTAAACATAATGTTATTGTTGTTTAAATACTACTCCGACTACTACTACTACTACTACTACTACTACTACTACTACTACTACTACTACTACTACTACTACTACTACTACTACTACTACTACTACTACTACTACTACTACTACTACAATGCAAAAAATTTGAAATTTTGATAAGCTCAAATTGTACGAGATTTGTTTAAAAGTACAAACTTCGTCAGCCCCGACTTTGATTTTTGCTTATGATTCATTGGAAAGGGAGGTAGCCAGAGAAAATGGCTTTACCCTCGGTTCTGGGTTTGTTATTTTATCATTGTTTGCAAAGGACCCTTCTCGTGTTGTTTCTAGTGTATGGTGCTAGACCTACAATGTTTCATTGTATCATCACCATCTTGCACCTTGCCGACTAGCCTGGGAGATCATGCTTCTCTAACAGCATGTAGTGGTAGTAGTTAAAGCAGTAGTGGTACTAGTAGGAGTGGTGGTAGTAGCACTGTTACGAGTAGAAGAAGAAATAGTGATATTAGTAGAAGTAGTAGTAGTTGTTGTTTTTGTAGTAGTAGTAGTAGTAGTAGTAGTAGTAGTAGTAGTAGTAGTAGTAGTAGTAGTAGTAGTAGTAGTAGTAGTAGTAGTAGTCGGAGTAGTAGTAGTAGTGGTAGTAGTAGTGGTGGTGGTGGTGGTGGTATTATTTGTTGCAGTAGTAGTAGTTGTTTGTTGTAGTAGTAATAATAATAGTAGTGGTAGTACTATTAGTAGTAGTAGTGGTGGTGATGGTAGTATTATTTGTTGCAGTAGTAGTAGTAGTAGTAAAAGTAGTAGTAGTAGTAGTAGTAGTAGTAGTAGTAGTAGTAGTAGTAGTAGTAGTAGTAGTAGTAGTAGTAGTAGTAGTAGTAGTAGTAGTAGTAGTAGTAGTAGTGGTGTTGGTGGTACTATTAGTTTCAGTAGTAGTAGTTGTTTGTAGTAGTAGTAGTAGTATTAGCAGTAGTGACGGTATTATTTGTTGTTTTTGTAGTAGTAGTAGTAGTAGTAGTAGTAGTAGTAGTAGTCGTAGTAGTAGAGGTATAGTAGTAGTAGTAGTAGTAGTAGTAGTAGTAGTAGTAGTAGTAGTAGTAGTAGTAGTAGTAGTAGTAGTAGTGGTGGTGGTGGTAGTAGTAGTAGTAGTAGTAGTAGTAATAGTAGTAGTAGTAGTTATAATTAAGTGCAGTAGTAGTGTTTTTTTTATAGTAGTAGTAGTAGTAGTAGTAGTAGTGGTGGTATTTTTAGTTGCAGTAGTAGTAGTAGTAGTGGTGGTGGTGGTGTTGGTAGTACTATTAGTTTCAGTAGTAGTTGTTGTTTGTAGTAGTAGTAGTAGTAGTAGTAGTAGTAGTAGTAGTAGTAGTAGTAGTTGTTGTTGTTGTTGTAGTAGTATTAGTAGTAGTGATGGTATTATTTGTTGTTTTTGTAGTAGTAGTAGTAGTAGTAGTAGTAGTAGTAGTAGTAGTAGTAGTAGTAGTAGTAGTAGTAGTAGTAGTAGTAGTAGTAGTAGTAGTAGTAGTAGTTATAATTAAGTGCAGTAGTAGTTTTTTTTTTGTAGTAGTAGTAGTAGCAGCAGTAGTAGTAGTAGTAGAAGTAGTAGTAGTAGTAGTAGTAATAGTAGTAGTAGTAGTAGTAGTAGTAGTAGTAGTAGTAGTAGTAGTAGTAGTAGTAGTAGTAGTAGTTAGTAGTAGTAGTAGTAGTAGTAGTAGTAGTAGTAGTAGTTGTTGTTGTTGTTGTTGTTGTTGTTGTAGAACATTACACTTGATGAATGAGTGAATCAGAAAATGACATCATTGCACCTGTGACAGTCCTTACTGCGCAGCCAACGAAGAGTTCCCATACTAATGTGGGGTGCCATTTGGAACCTCCCCCCCCCCCCCCCCCTGTTGAAGGTAGGAAGTCATCCAGACCCTCTACTCACTCCCAGCGGAATCCTTCTGTCCCTCATCGCATGCCCTGTTCTTTTGCACTGTTTATACGATCCCAGCGAGGCTGTACAACTACCCCTATATGGTAAAGTAGTCCACCGCCTATAGGGGCGGCAGCAGCTGATTTATCAGTTTGCTGTTTACTACGTACACTCGAATGTCCTGGCAGCAGCTACAAAATCCACGATGTACCACTTATCTGAGTTTAATTAAGCGACGCGAGCCACTCTAAACATAAGACGCTAGTGTCTGTTATCTGACCCATACTCTGAGACTTAGTTTTAATCATATCGTGTCTAGATTTCTACTCTGCAGCCATCGAAAAACTGTTGTTACTGCCTCCAGCTCGATTCTCAAGCTATACGGTGTGACGCTGTACGCAAGGAATCAAAGTGGAACTGGCAAATACAGATGCTCTGAAGAAACTGAGAATTAAAAGTAAGTTGCTGCCTGAAGGGACTTAAAAATAACCCACTGACATTTTTCGGCCTTATTTAAAGCTATACCACTTTTTTAAAACCCCACTGGAGGGAACAGTCGAACTCAGGACTTTAATAGGTAGACAATGTTACACGTGGTAGGACAAATGTCTGTGTTGTGAGTGTTTGCTTGCGTGTATGTGGTGTATATAAGCTCGATCGTCCTAGAAGTCCAAGTAATTTACTTAACAATTCCGCGACCTTGGGACTTCAAACCCAAAGGCCTATAAACTGCAATAAAAGAAAGAATATAGGTAGGTGTGTGAGTTGTGCCCCACCAGGACATCAAAAAAGGTGCCACCATACGGATGAAGATCACCCGTGGAGAGGTCCCGGAAACCTCGTTCAGCCGTTAAGCCATATTTATGGCCCAGCTATATTTAGGGCCCCCGGCACAAACCGGGGTGAGGCTACAAACAAAAAAATGCATCCCACAAGGGGACGACTTACACATGGAAAGAATATGCCGATAAACTCAGCATATTCCGAGGCCATTCTAGCAAAACGCTGCTTTAAAAAATTCCCGTCTGTGCTTTCGTCTAGGTCAAAGAACTCGCAATTCCAGAGTCGCATTCTGGATAACAATACGACATATACTTTGTTCAGTCTATCCTACTTCATGTTATCACTGGGGCATTCTAGAAGTTACACATAGTTGTATCCCTGTGTGTTTTGATGTCATCTATGAACAAGGAAGTTGCAGTCTGGAGTTACTAATGGGGGTTAGTATGTCATCTATGGACAAGGGAGTGCAATCTGGAGCTACTAATGGGGGTTAGTATGTCATCTATGGACAAGGGAGTGCAATCTGGAGCTACTAATGGGGGTTAGTATGTCATCTATGGACACGGGAGTGGAGCTACTAATGGGGGTTAGTATGTCATCTATGGACACGGGAGTGGAGCTACTAATGGGGGTTAGTATGTCATCTATGGACACAGGAGTGGAGCTACTAATGGGGGTTAGTATGTCATCTATGGACAAGGAAGTTGCAATCTTGAGTTATTAATGGGGGTTAGTTAGTTGCGAATCTTTTACAGGACCAAACCCAGCATTGTTTTGACCTTTTGTATTTTTTCTAGACTAATTTACGTCAAATAGTTTGCCACTGCCTTTTAAACGGTCAGCTCTCGGTACCGTCGTCGAAATAAACACAAGGAGTTCTGATGCCAATCTTTCTACTTCTTTCTATGAGTGCAGATCAATACACTTTCTGTTACTTGATTAATGGCATTACGTAGCGCTTTCCAAACGCCTAAGCTATATATATAAGGGGTGACTACATACTAAACAAAAAACAAAAACAATTTAGCATAGTTATTTCCCTTATTTTAGGAATTGTGGAATTTAGCAGCGGTTCTCAAACTGGGTGCCGCAACACCCAGGGGTGCCGCAAGCCTATGCCAGGGGTGCCGCAACACCCAGAGGTGCCGCAACACCCAGGGGTGCCGCAAGCCTATGCCAGGGGTGACTCGGCAATAATTAAGATTTTTTTCAAAATCTGCTTGATCAGCGAAAACAGCAGTTTAAAACAGAAATACCACGAAGAAAGCCATGAAGAGTTTTTTATGCAGGTGTATTTAGATAATGCTGTTGGTAAGGCTGCAGTGCGTTCTCAACGTACTTTTACAGATTTTACAGATTTCAAACTGTTATTTTAAAATGGAAAAGTTAATAAGTAAGTCACAAACGGTTCTGGGATGGCAGGAAAATGAAGTTGGTGGTTTTTAAAGCTGTCACTAGGTGATAGCAACATCGAAC